CTATAGGTACCGGGCGCACCGTATACTATAGAAGCTAAGGAGAAGGAGGGACCGCCGGAGCTAGACGAACGGAACGAGCTCTAAGGGAGGCTAGTCTAACTTATCTATAACTCTAGCGTTATAGGTTACCTAGGCAAATAGGGCATAGTAGTAGGCCTTATAAGGGACTTTTACTAGCCCCTCTTATAGTACTACGTTCGTCGCTTCCTCTATAACTATAATATCTATAGCTATATAAAGATCTAGAGGGCGTAGCTTAAAGGGCTGCTTAAGTAGCTTCTAGTGCCCGACTAGTTCTATATATATATATAGATAGACTTTATAACGGACCTCCTACTTATAAAGGGCGGCAACCGCTATTTATAGGTAATTAAGGACCGACTTAGTAAGTCTATAGTATTAGAGCTAATACCCTCTATAGATATAGAGTCCTATATAGAGCGCTTCCTATAGTACTAGGCCCGCTTATATAGCTAGCTAGCTTTTATTATAAGCGATAAAGGATCGAATTAGACTAGCCGCTTTTAGTAGTACTTATACTAGCTACTTTAGATTACGTAGCTACTTAGCACGGCATATTACCTATAGACCGACGGAGGGCCTAAGAGGGTTAACTAAGAGGCGTAGGCTTACCTATAGGCTATCGTAGCCCGTAACTAAGTAGACTAAGACCGGTAGCTCCCCGCGGCCTAACTTACGTTAAATAGTAAACTATATACCTTTATTAAGATAGCCCCTTTCTTTATAACGTATAGCTTCGAACTACCCTTATTAGTTCCCTTTACCGTAGACGTAGTAGCGGAGTAGTATAGTAATTTATTACCGGAGGGCCGCGCTTCTACGTTTATACGAAAGCTATAAGAGACTATAGATTATTACTAATCTACGATAGCCGCCGCGGCGTAAGATTAAGAGCGGCACGCTAATAAGACTAGGGCCCTAGTAGATAGGTTCGCGGTAGGAGATAAGGTATAGCTAGACCTCTATAACTATAGGTCGGCACGACTAAAAAAGAAGCTTAACTAGCTATATATAAAGTTTACGGTATAGAGGGTTATTAGCCCGTAGGTTATAAAGCTTAATAGTCTCCTAATAGGGGTCTATAATAAGATTAACGTAGACCTCCTTTATAGAGCCTCCTTTAACCTACTACCTAGATAAGAAGTAGCGGACGCTTAACCGCCCGTAATTAAGGTAGAGGGAGAGGACGAGTTCGAGGTTAAAGAGATATAGGCCGCGCGCTAGAGAAAGGTCGGTAGAGGGAAACGCTAGGAGGTCCTTATTAAGTAGCGCGGGTATCTCGACCTTATATAGGAACCTATATATAAGTTTACGGGAACTATAGCCCTCGATAAGTTTAAAGCCTTATTTAAAACGGTAGATAAGAACGATAGACTAGCGGACTACCGATAGTAGCCTAGGCTAAGACTACGAAGTAGGTAAAGTAGAGTAGGTAGTTACGATAACGCGAGCGTAATTATATAAGCGGAGATAAAAATAGCGTTTATTTTAGGGCGAAGCCCTTAGACTACCTAGACCTACTCCTCGTCCTTATCGTCGTCCTTATCCTTATCCTCGTCGTCCTCCTCTACCTTATTAGCGGCGGCGGCGCTCTCTAAGGCGCTTAGGCGGCCCTCTGGCCCGCGAGCTAGTTAGCGCAGCGGCGGCTCTAGGGGCTCCGGGGCGAGGGGCCCGGCTAGTAGCAGCGGCGGGGCGGCGGCGGGCACGGCTAAGGGACCGCCGATAAGGCGACGGAGGTAGTATCCCTAGTACCGGGAGAGTTAGCAGCGGAAGTAAAAGAGCTAGATAAAAGGAACTTACTTAAGGACGAGGCCCTAGCGCTCGAGGGCGCGGAGATTACGGTAGGCGGCGGCGGCGGCGGTAAGGCGCTTCTTAGCAGCCCCCTATACCTACCCGTGCGCGCCGGCCTTCTAAGCCGACGCTATAGCGAGTAGGACGGGAGGCGCCGCCTTATAGGCGCGGCCGGCACGCGCGCACTAGTAATAACTACCGCTACGGCGGCGCCCGACTTAGTCGGTATAGGGGAGCTCCTACGACGCGCACCGTATATAGGGGGCCGCGCGGGCGGCTCCGGCCTATACTTAGCGTTTATACTTTAAGAAGTTAGCGGAAAATAGCTACTACGCTCGCTAGGTAGCGGACTTACGGGGGTAGTAGTAGCGGAGGCGGGGGTAGAGGGGCTAGGCGTTACGGCCGGCGGCGGGGACGGCGTCGTTACCTAGAAGGGCAACGTAAGGGCGGCTAGTATAGTAGAGGTAGAGGCGGCGGTAGTAGGTATAGTTATAAAGGCGCGGGTAGGAGTAGCGGTAGCGGCGGAGCCGTTATTAGCTATACTTAGTATAGCGTCGATAAACGACTCTATACGCTTTAAGAAAGAAGAAGTAAAGGAGGGGAAGGTAGATAGAACCTTATCCTTCTCGCTAGCCGTCGCGCTTTTAATCGCTTTTAGGATAGCTACGATACTTCCTATCCGTTTAAGGAGGGGTAGAGTACTTCCTTAAAGGGGAGGCGCCCTCTTTAGAGAGATATCTATTAGATCTATTAGTTAATAGCTTATACTATTATAAAGTAGGCAAAGGCATAGGCATAGGTACCGTTTATAGGATAATATTAATAAGCTATATAGAGCTCTCCTATACGCGGCTAGCCTATATATATACGTATAGGATCCGGCCCTTTATATATAACTATATAGCTTAGGCTATAGCCTAAGCTTATAACCTATAATAGTTAAAGACTCTTATAATATCTACTTAATAAAGCACCTCTTTAAACTATATAAGGTAAGCTAGAATAGCTTTACTCCGCTTTTAATAAAGCATTATAAGCTCTTAGCCTACTAACTTAGCTATATTAGGTTTACTATAATTAGTATAAAGCTCTATAAGGAGGTTAACTAGTCTATTTATATTAGTATACGTAAATAGTAAGAGATGCCTTTATAGGTATAGGGATAGGCTCGCGTAAAAATAGTTAAATTAAGCGCGGATATCCCTTATTATAGCGCTATTAGTATAGAGCTTCGCTTTTATATTAAGTAGCTATAGCTCGAGCTCTATAAAGGAGCTATTGAACTTACTAAGGTATAGTAGTACCGCTCTTAGTCGTACGGAGCCCTACTATTATAAGAGGCTCTTAATTGCCTAGGTAAACTAAGTATTACGTTCGCTTTAATTTTACTACTATAGAAGTATAGATATTTCGTATATATATATACCGGCGTAGGCGGTTTAACTAGACTAGGTAATTAAACGTTAGCTTTAAAGGCAGCTAAAAATAGCTATTCTATATATAGGGATATAGAGAGGGTAAAATAAAGGGTAGATTATACTATTATAGAGTAGGTAGAGGCATAGGCTTAGGTATAGTCTATTAAAAGAAGGTTAATAATCTATAAGGGGGAAAAGGAAGAGAAGTATAGGCCTAGCCTATATAGGCGCGGAGGCCGCTTATATATAGACTTAGCCTAGACTCTCGTTTAGGCCTATATAAGGCAAAAGCCCTTATAAGTATAACGCTTATATACTTCGTCTTATACTTATAAAACTATTATTATAGTAGACCTACTATTATATAGGCTTAAACTATAGCTTTTTTTTAGTATAAAATTAAGTATAACTTTATATATAATAACTAAGGTATCCTAAGGATTAAGGGAAACTCTAGTTAAAGGATTATATAAGCTATAATAAGCTTATAATAGCTATTAACCTCTATAGCTAACTATATAATACCCTTAATCTTTATACCTTTTATTATACTTAAGGCGTCCTTTACTTACCTTATAGTAATCTATTTTACTAGTACTTATATCTCTTATATAAGCGCCTTATTAACTATAGTATAGTACTAATAGCCCTTATCTATAAAGGCGGCGATAGGTAAGGAGTTATTAATTATAACCTATATTAAAGTAAGCTTCTTTTCTATATAAGTAGAAATTTTTTTTTTCTCTTTTACTAATATTAGTAATTAGGGCTTTAAAGCTTATCTTTACTCTAAAGCTACTCTTTTTCCTTTAGGCCTAAAAGAGCGGAGTCCTCTTTATTATCTAAGGTAAAGAGCGGTTTTATTTTTATTACTTAAACTATAATAGGCCGCTTAGCTAAAAGAAGGGGTACTTTAATATAAAGTATATAGACGAGCTATAATATAGGTAGCGGCTATTAGCCTTCTTTTTTCCGATCTCCTTACTCGTTACTTACTTCGCTTACTACTTAAAGTATAGGATAGTATAAAAGGTAGTCGATAGCGTCTTTCTACTATATTTAGCCTAGTCTATATAGGTAGTTAATATTAAGGTATCCTTATTAGTATCGATAGCTAGCTATTTCTCTTATAGAGGGGCGGTAATATAAGCACTGGTTTATTTAAAAGCCGTTTAGAGCGTAGAAGACGCTCTCTGGATAAAGGACTAAGTTCTGATACGGAAACTTCGGGGTGCAAGAGTTCCAATCCCTGATCTGCTGTCCCTACATGTCGCATTGTAGCTCTTCGGGGTTAGTAGGAACATCAATTCCGATTGTGAAGCACTAGCTCTCTTTTCATCAGCTTAGACTTGTGGCGCCTGTTTTCGGATACAATTCCGCTTCCGTGAGTCTGTGCCGCAGCGAATGTGCTTGTGCTGGCTCCATCCCTGTCATTTCTATTCACCAGCCGTTTCGAGCCCTGCTGAGCATTGTAGTTGATGAGCCAGAAGCGGGCAAAGACATGGAATTGAGCGCGTGTCCGCGGCTCCCGGACCCGACCTCGCCCGCCTCTGGCGTCGGATGAGCCGCAATACAGAGTTCAACCTACCAGTGCACCCACCATTCACAAAGAGTATATCATACGGGTGGGTGCTTCTACTAGCAAGAACTCTTCCTGGACTTCTACAAGTACTGATCCGCGATTGTTCTTTGGCCAGAGTCTCTTGCCGCCAATATATCGTGAATTTGACGCTTTTTTGGATAGGACTGCCATTCATCCTGCTTTCCGTCATGGTCACCTCCTTTCCCCACCCCCTTTCCGGCCTCTCGATCCACGAAACAAATCGGGCTCGAGACCTGGTGCTCAAGCTGCACCCTGGGACCGTTATCGATTTCCGCGCCACTTTCTTGCTTGAGCCGCCTAAAGCTGAAGTAAAAGAATTTCTAGAGCTGGAGCATGCCGACAGAATCACATCAGATACCCCACGTCCAGCACGGCTGGCGCAGGTCCGATACGACGTCATTGGCGGATCTAAGGCGGCAGAATATCACGAGTCCGTCATTGACCTCCTAAAAGCCAAACGCATCAGCCACCAAATCATTGGACCTGAGCATCACGCAGGATTGACCGTGTACGTGCGTAGCGCTCAGTGTCAAGAGAGATCGGATGCTTACCATTCGCGCGGCACAGATTCGAGTTTGAGAAGCTGGTAGAATGTGTGAAAACTTCTTCCCTCTTCCAAGAGAAGCTCAAGGCTATCCAGCTGCCTCCCGGCTTCGAGCTCGTCGTTGAGCCATGGCCTTACGGTGCGCCCGACGACGCCGATGGCGACTCGCTTCTTCCAGGGCCTTTGCTTTGGGAGGCACGCAGCCAGCGGCAACCCGGACTCTAACTTTTACGCATTTCCCATTCCCTTGATACCCATCATGGACGCGAGGAAGAATGAGATAGTGCGCATTGACGAGCCAGCCACGGGCGGCAAAGATGATGCATTGAGCGGGCGGACTCACGAGCCAGCCATCCTCGATCACTGCCGTTCGGCCGAATATGTTCCAGAGCTGCTGCCGTCAGGCATGAGGAAGGACCTCGCCGCTAACGGTGCAGCAGCCGGAAGGGCCAAGCTTCACCATCTCGGACCCCAATCTCATCGAGTGGCAGAAGTGGCGCATGAGGGTCACATTCAACCCACGCGAAGGTGCAGTCTTGCACGACATTCGCTACGACGGCCGCAATGTGCTCTATCGACTGAGCATCAGCGACATGGTAAGCGCCTGTCCTCGTTGAGGCGGCGAGCTGCGACTGACGGAGGCCTTGTTGTGCAGACGGTGCCATACGCCGACCCAAGGGCCCCTTTCCATCGTAAGCAGGCTTTTGACTTCGGTGACGGCGGCCTCGGGCACGCAGTGAACAATCTCACCCTCGGGTGTGACTGCTTGGGCGTCATAAAGGTGATTGGGCCATTGGATAGCTTTGAAGAGAGGCGGTAACCGAAACGAGACGCTAACACAACCATGACAGTACTTTGACGGCGTCTTGACGAAAGCAGACGGCTCGGCCGAAGTCACCAAAAATGTCGTTTGCCTACACGAGCAGGACAATGGCATCAACTGGAAGCACACCAACTGGCGGACCGGGCGAGCCGTGGTGACGCGTCGCCGCGAGCTCGTCGTACAGTTCATCATCACGCTCGCCAACTACGAGTACATTTTTGCTTTCAAGTTTGACCAGGCAGCCGGAATCGCAGTCGAGGCCCGGGCAACGGGAATCGTCTCCGTCGTCAACATCGACGCCGGCAAGACTGCTCCCTGGGGCAATGTGGTCAGCCCCGGAGCCCTGGCGCAGAACCACCAGCACATCTTTTGCGTTCGAATCGATCCCGCCATCGACGGACATCGAAACACGCTGGTGCAGGAGGAGAGCTTGCCCAATGGCATGGACAAGCGCACCAACCCCAACGGAAACTACTACGAGGTCCGCCAGACGCCCATCACGACATCTGTGGGAGTCGACCTCGCACCCTTTAACAATCGCGTCTTCAAAGTCCAGAACCTGTCAAAGCGGAACCCCGTCAGTGGCAAGCCGGTTGGCTACAAGGTTACTACGCCGCCAACTCAGCTGTTGCTGGCGGATCCCAATAGTGTCCAGGCCCAGCGCGCACTCTTCGCCCAGCATCACATATGGGTGACTAAGTACAAGGACGACGAGTTGTATGCCGGAGGTCGATACACTCTTCAAAGCAGTCGCGAAATCGGCGGCGTGGCCGATGCCGCGGCACGGAAGGAAGACATTTTGGACGAGGATATCGTGGTCTGGAGCGTCTTTGGCCTCACACATAACCCTCGAGTTGAGGACTGGCCGGTCATGTGAGCTTTGATTTATCCGCTAAGAAATCGCCCAAGCTAATATTATTGTTCGCGACATCCAGGCCTGTAGAGATGCTGCAGGTGGACATTACGCCGTCAGATTTCTTCACCGAGAACCCAGCACTCGACGTACCCTCAAGCGCCGACATTGGCTCTAAGAGGGTGCTTGACAGATGCTGCGCGGATAAAGGCTTGTCCAAGAAACCAGGCGAGAAGTCGCGACTGTAAAGGCTCCCGAACGCATACATGTAGCGATGTCATTACGGCTAGGCTCAACAGCAGAATAGACAGACGAAGATGAACTCTCAAAAAGAAATCCCTTCTTCTCTCCGCTCTCATGAATCCTCTTCATCAAATAATAGTCCAGGTGTACTAAAACAAGAGATCATTGGGCCTTTGTTAGGCCCAGCAAGGGAGGTTTCTATGTACCTCGCTGCGTAGAAGACATTGCACCTGTTCTTCACTCCAAGCTGTAGCGTTAGCGGTCTACGGCTCACCCTACGGGAAAGGAACAATGGCAGCGAGAGCCCTAAGCACCACACGTTTAGAATATGGTAGGACGCTTGTCCGATCGGAATGAGACGCGGGACAAGCGTTCAGGTTGCGCTCGCACACCGCATTATATTCTCTCAGAGCTTATGTACAATGCTGAACTTGACGCACTTGACTTGAGTCCATTCCTCCAGCGCCTCTTGGCCCAGGTCCCGACCGAACCCACTCTCCTTGAAGCCTCCAAAGGGGGTATTCGAATTGATCGTTCCCCACATGTTCACAGTCACCTGGCCGCATTCGATGGCGTCGCTCACGCGCATTGCCTTGTTGATGTCATCTGTGAAGACCGCCGCAGACAGCCCGTAGTTTGTGTCGTTTGCCAGACCAACAACTTCTTCCTCAGTCTTGAACCTGGCAATGCTGGCCACTGGACCAAAGACCTCTTCGCGCATGATGGTAGCAACGGGAGGCACATCCACGAAAGCCGTGTTTGAAACAAAATGTCCTCCAGAAGGGATTGAATATGAGTCGGCGCCATGAAGTAGCTTATTTCCCTCCTGCAATGCCGTCTGGATGTAGCCCGTGACTCGCGATTTCTGGCCGGCGCTGACCAAGGGACCCTTGGTGGTGCTGTCCAGCAAGGGGTCTCCAGCGACCGAGTCCTTGGTGCGGGCCGAGAATTCCGCGACGTATCGATCATAGATTTCGTCTTGCACGTAAATGCGGCTCCCAGCGGCGCATATTTGCCCGTTGTGGACCGTGATGCCCATCGTTGTATGAAGCAGCGCGTTTTCCCAGGATGCATCGGCAAACACAATGCTAGGACCTTTGCCCCCAAGCTCCACGGTGACTTTCTTCAAATTGGTTCGCGCCGAGCTTTCCAAAATCCTCCTGCCGACCGCGGTGCTTCCCGTAAAGGAGATTTTGCGCACCAACATGTGGCCTGGGCTTGGCCGGCCACTTGACCAAGACCGCAGACTATGTTGACGACGCCCGGGGGAAACCCCGCCTCTCTGATGAGCTGTGCGAGCTTCTGAGCATATAGGGGGGCGATTTCGGGGGTCTTGACGATGACTGTGTTGCCCGCTGCTATAGCCGGGGCCAGCTTCCACATTGTGATCATGCTTGCTCATGGGTAAATGACAAGCGTCAGCAAATCGGCATCAACGGCTGCCAAGGACTCGAAATAGTGGTGCCGTCTTACAGAGGAGCGTTCCAGGGCACAATGGCAGCGCAGACGCCAATGGGTTCCCGCCGTGTATATGCCATACCCTCGGCAATACTCATGGATCGACCTTCAAGCTTGCCAACCCACCCGGCATAGTAGCGGCAGGTCTCGGCGGCTTGCGGTATACTCATGGTCAGTGACCCACGGTATAACATGCCGGCATCAAGTGCCTCGATCGACGCCAAGTCCTCGGCATCGCGCTCAAGGAGGTCGGCCAGCTTGTTGAGGAGCGATCGCGACTTGTCAGGCGTGACGAAGCGCCATGTGGACTTGAAGGCATCCGCAGAAGAGGACACCGCACGATCTACGTCCTCGACCTGGGCCGCGGCTACCTTTGCGAGAAACTTGCCGGTGGCTGGATTTTCCAAGTCTATCGTCTCGCCGCGCGTGGCCGGGGAAAAGCTGTTGTCGATGAAAAGGCCGGTGGGGACTAGAGGCAACTTTCATGAGTGCCTTGAAGAGGAGTCGGGACCGGGGGCGGCGAATTCGGTTCATCAATGATCTTACCAGTGACCTGGCGTCCGCCAGCGCCAACAAGAACTGCTTCTGCCATTTAGCTGCTTCGAGGCCTGTAGACGTACGGTCGAGTGAATATAGAAGGGCAGGATAAAGCTTTCCGGCAAACAAATGTCACCTTCAACGTTTGGGAGGAATTCAATGATATACGATGGCCACGAAAAGCGGGACTGAAGCGAACTTCCACTAAGCATGGATATATAAGGCAGGCTGACCTTCGAGTCAAGTTGACCTGTTGGCAAATTGATACCTCGGTTTACAGTCCGAGCAGAGCTCCGGCCTCGATGAGCAGAGCCGCCGCAGAAACGTGGATGGCGTCTGAAACCAGACCTGAAGCGATTCGATAGCGCAAACCATTAGCATTTGGAACTCGGGGAACCCAGGCGAGGCCTTGCGGGTGGAGGGTTCAAGGGTTTAATGCTGGGTTGCTGCCGTATTTGGACTGAAACGAAACGCAAAGGGCAGTTCCGAATTCCGCGATCCCTGGTGGTGATTTGCATCACGCTCTAGGCTGACGCAGGCTCGGGACGTATGTCACGTAAATAGCCAACGACGGAAATTCGGAACACTCCAGGTTTACGCATTGGCTGCGCTTTGGCCGTGCCTTCTAGCGACCGCTTGGGTCCCGTTTCAGGGCAAGCGGCAGCAGCTGTAGCACAGTTTGTAGACACAATTCGTCGACTCCGTCGTCGAATAAACAGAGAATCTGTAGTCTAGAGGCAGTATCCGGTGCTACATGGCCTTGCTCGTTCTGATTCCGAGATTCCGTTCACGACGTAAAAAGGCCGTGGTGAGAGATTTATCCATAGACGTTCAACATACCCTGATCGAAACGCCTCCAAAAACTCATCCACGATCCCCGCCAGCCGTGTTGCAATCGAATTATTCTTGGACTTGTTTCCACGGAAAGTAGCAGGAGCCAGGAAAGATGATTTCACCAATCCATCGAGTGACCCTCTTCAAAGTCCCCGGCAACGAGGATCAAGAACGCCTGCTGCAGATGTACAAGCAGATGCCGACCAAGGCCGTCAAGGTCAGTCTGGCCCGCGTGCCGGCCCAGTATAAGACTCACAATTTAGCGTGCCTACAATTGTTAACGCGGCTTCACCCAGGACGGGAAACCCTACCTGCTTTCAGTCACGGCGGGGAAGGCAAAGCCTGATCAACGGGCGCAGGGCTTCACGTTGGCAGTGATTTCTGTCTTTCGCTCTGTAGACGACATGACCTACTACGACAATGAGTGTGCGGCCCACGCAGAGCTGAAAGCTGTCGCAAAGTCGGTGCACCAGGGCGCCATGATGGTCTTCTTCGAAAATGAGCTCTCGGGCTAGTCAATCAAGTATATAGGAAACGTTTATAGACCAAATGCAGAGCTTTAGCTGGCACCGGCCTCTGCTCTGCACAGCCTTCATACACAGAGCCTTTACACAAAGATATACTAGCTCTCCATTAACTTTGCGTTGCTTCAAGTCTATGACAAACTCATATCAATCCCTGAAGTCGTCGAGAAATCTCCCCTCCCCTTCCATTCAACAAATCCGTGTCATCGGGACCATAGAAGTGAGCACCAAACTCTCCTGGAAAGTGCTGGCCCTGTCCGAGGGCATCGAAAATGTCCAAAAGATCATTTCTCATTTGAAACATGTCCGGGACCGAGTTGCTCATCTCAGTCTCGGGTATTATGTCACTGGTGGTCTGCGCATCCCAAAGACTGCTGCCATTGTCCGTCCTCATCGGATCCTGCAGCGCCTCTCGGAATTCAGACACGCCTGGTGCCTCACCTCCCGACAGCGAAGGGCTACCCCTCGCAGGCCCCATATCGTTGCTGGTACACGAACCGTCTGAGCTCTGGAGACCAAGGCTCCTCAAGCGCGGCAGCAGGCCGCGGATGCTTTTCCACAGCCTCCGGCTCACGACGCTGTGGCGCGAGAAGCCCCGGACGAGATCAACCGCGTCTAGAAAAGCCTTCCTACAGGGCTCTGTGAATATGTTGGGCGCATGACATACTGCGAGGAAAATCACCGCCATGGCGCTGACCAAAAAGTAGTTGAAGGCGTTTTGCTGCCGCGAGTAGATGTCCGTGGTTGCGTTCAAGTGTACCAGGATTTGCACGCTATCCAGCGCAATGTTGACCACCAGCCATGCGCTTCGTAGGTTCGCCGTGATGCTGGTTGTGTTGAAGAGATAATGCTGGTAGACGGAGATGCGCGTGTGATTTCCGCGCAGGTAGAGCAAGGCCCGGAGCCGGTGCAAGACGCGAGGCTGGGTCCGTGCCGCGAGTCCGAGGCGCGGGTGTCGGAGTCGGAGATGGGAGGGAATGGACTCGAGCCAGTCTTGCGTGCTCAGGTCCAAGGCATGAACTGTCTCCTCAGGGATAGACTGAGAGGCGGAACCCAGTGGCGGAATAGCGTCCCAGAGCTTGGAGCAGAGCCGACCGTAGCCTACCATGCACTTGAGGTAGCAGAAATCGGAATCCTAGTCATTGGGGGCCCGTTAGTGTAATCGCGTTGCAGATTCGAGGTAGTGCTCGGCTCACCGGTTCAGGGAGACCGGGATCTATATCGCGGTCTGAGAGCGCAAAGGATAGGCTCGTCCCAAAGCTCCATCGGCGATCCAGCACGTAGACGCACCAAAAGACGCGTGTAGCCAGGCGACGAGTGTCCGGGTCCTGAAGTTGTCAAACAAGCTCTTTCGGCGATGCAGACCCATCTCTAGAGCCTCGCGGGCAGCAATGCCAATGGTGCGCCACGCAAGTAGCTCGTCGTCGCAGTGGAAGTAGTAAATGCTCTGCGTATGGAGGGTCAGTCGGGGTCATGTTGAGGTGACCAACTCGGCGAAGGGGGAAAGCATACCAGCATAGTCAGGAGCTGGATCTCCTTGAGCTCGACCTGGGGACTCGAGATCCTTGATACATTCCGCTCTACGGTCTCGGCTATTGTGGCACTCAACTTGCTTTTGCCGTGCGCCTCAACGGCCAGGGCGGTGGCTATGGCAACCTTGGCCATTTCAACATCTCTGGCGCTCACGGGGAGCTGCATTTCCTCTCGTACTTCGCCGCTTGTCGACTTGCCGCTTCGGATAAAGTCGAGGATTTGCTGTGCCCGAGACGCGAGCTCGACAATGTCGATAAAAGGGTATACGGACTCGACCTCCTCCTCGAAGACGGCAAGTAGCCTTGCCATCTCGCCCGGTGTGCAGTGATGCCAGAACTCGGCCTCGGACGTTATCTCCCGGAGGGGTTCGGCCGGAGACTGGGCGCCGCTCGGAGGGGGGGACTCGAAGGTCGGAATGCCCATGCGCGTCAAGGATCGTTCGCCCACCAGGAGGCCAAAGGACGGTCTGGTGGGCCCGACGAACTGTGGCTGCTTCGGCGCAGCTTCCTTCTGGGCAGTCGAGGGAGACTGGACAATGGTCGTGTCCGGCGACTGCAGCGCCATGGAGGCGGGACGCGGCGAATGGTCTTTGAGCTGCTTGACAGTGCCCACCAAGTCGGCAACCTGCTGGCGGAGTTGAGCCATTTCATCGCTCAGAGACCGAACCTGGTCGCTGTAGCCGAGAGAATAGAATGTCAGCCTGGCTATGCATACCGATGCCATCGGCGGGACGGGACGGACCTCTGATGCCGTTGTTTGGTGGCCGGCGGCGGCCCCGACGCGTAGGCGCATGCCAGCCCGCCGGCGATGCAGCGCTCGCAGCCCCCATCGCCAGCCGGGATGCACTTGAGCTTTCTCTTCTTGCACTCGTCACTGGCAGCACATGATGTCTATGAGCCCTTCTGTCTGCATTCTTCACTGGCAAAGGGGCGTCTTGCCTACCATGCTACCGGTGTGTACTTGCCACGCTTTGGTCGCCGTGGGCCTTCTGTCCCCAGGGATTGTCGCTTGGGCGGCCTGGGCCCGGCCTCGCCAGTCGCTGAAGCGTCATCATCCATGGCCCTCGGCTCCATGTCAGTCCTCGGGGTGAGGTTCACTAGGCAGGGAAGAGGTGGGGGCGGAATATCGACACCACGTTTCCAAGCAGCGGTTCCGAGAGGGCGGCTGGCGTATGGGCTCTGGCGTTCACGCGGAAGAATGGGATATTACTTACGGATGTGGGCGTTTACTGTACAAGTATTGCATGGCTCACAGAATGCAGGACATGACTCGCTCCCCCGACCCTTGCTCGGACCCGTCAGCCGCGCGTTCCGACATTCCGAGGGCTGCCGGTATGAAAACTTGTGCCGTCTGTAGCCACCGCCGCCTATCATCTGTATTCCCCGCAATTGAGGTCCCTGTGGTGGATCCATTGCTGCATCATTGTATCACTGGTTACTGCATGGTGGCCCCCGGCCTATTGCTAGAGTCATGTTCGCAGTCTACATTGCTTGAAACTTGGCAGAGGCGGGTAGATAAAGAGGCCATGGGACTGAAGACAGGCCTGTTCAGCCCCAGTCCGAAGCCGTCTTCCCCAACACTCGCATTCATCACCTGCACGTTGCCTCTCATGACCATAGCACACCTCCTCCTTTCCCTCAAGGACCAGCTCCTTTACAATACAGGGCAATCGGTTCTGGTCACCTTTGTTGTGGCCCCCCTCATATACCTCTTCATCAACGAGCTTGTCCGGCACAATGCCCGCATCAGTGGCATGAAGGGTCCCTCCGGGTGGCCTTTGATTGGGAACCTCTGGGACATTCGCGTCAACGCTGCCGAAAAGTATCGAGACTGGGCGCGCTCGTTCGGCGATGTCTATCAGATCCAGCTGGGAAATGTCCCGGTCGTCGTCATCAACTCGGCCGCGGCGGCCAAGGCCATCTTTGGCCAGAATGCCCAGGCCATGAGCTCGAGGCCCGAATTTTACACCTTTCATAAGGCACGCACCAAATCCCCGGCATCGTTACCTCTCAAAATTATGGCACACTAACGGCTTTGCCTAGATTCTCTCTGATACGGCCGGTACAACCATTGGAACGTCACCCTATAGCGACTCGCTGAAGCGTCGCCGCAAGGGCGCCGCCTCGGCACTCAACAAGCCTTCGGTGCAGACGTACGTTTCGCACCTTGACGTCGAGACCCGCGATTTTATCAAGGAGCTGTACACCTATGGAGAGGCCGGAACAGCCCCGACCGACCCAATGCCCATGATCCAGCGCCTGTCCCTCTCCCTTGCCCTGACCTTGAACTGGGGAACCCGGTTGAAGAGCCAAAAAGATGACCTCTTCGACGAGATTACCCATGTCGAGGAGGAGATTAGCCGCTTTCGGTCTACAACGGGCAACCTCCAGGATTTCATCCCTATTTTGCGCCTGAACCCCGTTAATCTTCACTCGGCCAAGGCCAAGGAGATGCGCAGCCGGCGCGACGCGTACCTGTCCGCCCTCAACAAGGGACTGGATGATCGCATCGCCAACGGCAGCTACAGCCCTTGTATCCAGGCCAACGTCATAATGGACAAGCAGGCAAGGCTGAACAAGGATGAACTCACTTCCATCAGCTTGACGATGCTTTCTGGCGGTCTTGACACCGTGACCACACAGGTCGCCTGGTTCATGGCCTTTCTCTCTCAGCACCCCGAAATCCAAGAAAAGGCCGTGTCGGAGATACGCAAATTTTACGACGACAGCCAGCCAATGTGTGAATCTGCCGACGACCAGAAATGCCAATACATTGTTGCCCTTGTACGTGAATCGCTGCGATACTTTACCGTCCTGCGCCTTGCCCTGCCGCGGGCATCCGTGAAGACCGTTGTCTACGAGGGTCTCACGATCCCTCAGGGGTCGGTGATTTTCCTCAACGCTTGGGCTTGCAATATGGGTGAGTCGAGAATCAAGCCCCCTGCCCAGGCTGGAACGAGCTAATGCGCAAAGACCCCAACGTATGGTCCGATCCTGAGGTCTTCCGTCCTGAACGATGGCTGGAGCTACCCGACGCCCTCTATTCACATATGGCGTTGGCTACCGCATGTGCGCTGGGTCGTTGTTGGCCAACAGGGAACTCTATCTCCTTTATATGAGGCTATTCAACAGCTTCCGCATCGAGAAGCATGACCAGGTTGACTGCCACCCGATACGAGGCAATGCGGATCCCACCAGCTTGGTGGCAATGCCAAAGCGGTACCGTGCCCGGTTCGTGCCTAGAAACCCCGGAGCTTTGGGAAAAGCCATGCAGGATGAAGATACCTAAGATTCGGTCGCTTCCGCGCGAGATCGGTTTCTCAGACGGGTTCAGATGCCATGCGTCTTTGGAGAGAAGTCGTGCCCCGATGCAACAAAGAAATTGGACGGTGTGGCTGTTACACAACGCCGATAGCGCATAAAGTTAGGTAACCTAACTGGATATTGTAAATACTTTTCATGAGTCTGCTGGCTACGCAGCAGTACGTTAGCTGGACTAGCTATGCTTCTTATCAGCGCCGCAGGTCGATGCAGAGAACATATCCTATGAATGATGACGAAGCAACTTCATCTCCGCGGCAAATGTAGTTGACAATGGTCTTTGAACCGAATCCACTGTCGATTCAAATAAAACAGGTCGGATAAAGTGCTCATGAAAACACGGTGCAAGGCTGCTGATATTTAACTTGGCTCGTTGTGGGTAGCAATCGCTTTGGAGACCCCGTAGGTGCAGAGAAGAGAATAGCGAGGTGACGATCTCGCGCCAAGTTGCGCATGCTCGAAATCAGTCAAGGGAACATGCTGGCAGGCGCCGAACCTCCAGGACAAGACCTGGAAAAATGACGTTCGGTTAACTTATTGTCCAAGTCGAGTGACGAATGATTACGTCGGCGAACCCGAGTATCGCCATTCGGCCTTCGTTCACGTCATTGATATGAAACTTGGCTAGCCAGATATCGGAGCAGAAAAAGACTACGGACCCGCAGCAGGGGTTCTGGGTGTGATTGAAAAATCTAGCAGCACGAAAGGAGAGGAGTTATAAGCAAAGGGAGCGCAAGCGACGTGAACAGAATTGAATGCGGCAAGAAATGCCTGGCGGCGAGGAAGGGGCTTGCTTATCAGAGAGAGAGTATGTCAGGTTCTGCTCCGTTCACAGCGGCTGCAGGAGGGTCAGAGTAACGGGAATCTGGTGTGGCTCGTAAAGAGCAAAAGCAATGGGCGGGTAGGTGTACTCTCCGTCACTAAAGACCGGACCCCTGTTCAGCCACTCGTCAGCTCTGATGCCTGCGGAAAAGTCGATGATAGCATAGTAATTATAAATATAGATGAAGATGGAACTATTCATTCGTGGCGACGGCAGCTCACAAACTTACTATATTTCGGAAACTCTACCGGATGACTGAAGGCGCCACAGCTCCCTGTCCACCATTGTCGTGATAGAAGAGCGTCCGTGCTTGATTCAGGAATGGGGACCTCCCGCGAATACGCTGTGTGAAAGTGCCTTGTGTACTCAGCGATGCAGGATAAGAGGAGGCTGCCCAGGTAGGGATATTAATGTTGGTGGGAGTCGGCAGATATGTCCCCTGGAGGAGATATGGCAGATACAAAGTGGAAGAGGATTAATTCAGCCTCGAAATTTGGGTCCCTCGACAGTATTTGAAGATGTACCGCACCAAAGATGTAACTATTGCAGAGTTCTTCGTTGCCATACGGTTCACGCTATTCAACGGGCGTATTGTTAGCCAAAAGTTTGCTGCCCCGGTGCCTTGTATCACGCCAAGGTGTCTAATTTGCGCGTACCGAGAACATCATTCCTTTACGCCAAGGAAGCGAGCTTGCTTCGAAGCTGACAGGCTGAAGATCTAAACCGGGTGCTGTTCACTCATAACTTACTCTATTACGAAGGGCATGGCCACTTGTCATCGATGCCAAGCCGACTGGCTGCCCGAGAGTTGATATAATCTCCATTTCGGCCCTACAACCTTATGTGGCAACCTAGGTGTGCCGGTCCCGGTAGCCAGCTGCCCTCGAGTCCTCGAGTCCGGGCCCGTACGCACTCTTCGCCCTGTTAGCTGATATATTTGGCTGCTGTACTTCGTGGAGAGGCATGGAAATCTCCAACAAGTCACAGCCTGTGATCACAGATGCTTCACATAGCTCTCACTATCGGTCGTGTCTGCTCTTTCCCCCGGCCAAGCCTTTTAGCTGTATTCCTTTCTAATACCAGAGAGCAACATTATTGTTACGGCAATAATGACATAACATACTCAACGCCTCTCCGATGTTTCCATCGCCTGGTCTGCCTTCTACCAACGCACTACAGATGATCATTCAACTTTACCAGTATTAATCTTGCCGGAGTTATTTGTAATAAATGAGACGTGAACTCCAGTGTCAATCAGGTGAAAAGCTCAAACCCTTACTGAGAGACTGGCCAGAAGGCCAGAAAATTATTAAAACGATAAGAGGCGAACAGGTAGCACGTGGAGGTAGGTGGATGTCTGAACGGCAACTTACGTCAGTAGGAGTAGAACTCCTCGGAGAAAGTCAGGGGCTAAACCTTGAGAGGAATGCAAACGGAAACCGGTATCAAGAGGCATTATTGATTAGAATGGAATGAGTTTTGGGGAGAGAAGATAAGAGATTATGGGTTGAGCCTTCAAGTTAGAGTATATTTGGCAGAGCGAGGCATTCACCCAGTCCAGATTTATTAAACTAGGGTCGCTCATAAACGGTACATGCTTATGCTTCAAACCCTCTATTTATGTTACGACGTGGCATTGGCCGGCGGCGTCTGGTCGAATGTGGCCACCTATAGAGTCTGAGATGGAACATGTCACCCAGCTCTTCTAGACGTCCCGGCCTTGCATGGCAACGTAATCGGAACGCATAGCCTCCCATAATGTACATGTACACAACTGATCCGTAGCGAGAACCACAGACCTCGCAAGGGCGTCTTTGCTCGCAAATCTAGCATGTCTAGAAACATCAAAGAGAATAACGAGCAAACGCTATCATGCTAGGGGCAGGCGGTAGACAGGTGTACGTGGAGGCCGCGACGTTTGTAAGCGCCTGGTCTTGTCTGCTTCTCAGCTGGTGTGATTCGCCTCGTTGCTGGGTTTTAAGCGAATGCTCCGACAATGGACATGCCGAGGGCTTCGAGAGTTCGAGGTCAGCGACAGTTGGAAGCTATAGTCGGGGTGATTTCTTACCTCCGGCAAGAACCCAGGCAAACGCAATGGCCTTCTTCTTGCCGTTCATCAAGTGATTTGCCTCCTCGGATAGGAAATCCTCGGCCAAGAGGTCGACCAGAGCGGCGTAGATAAGCAGACCCGATGATCTGAGTGGAAATTATCAGCCTGAAGAACAGCCACAGGCTTGGTTGCTGGGCTCCGGTGGAGAGGAGGTACACTCACATGGCGTTGAAAACACCGACGATGATAAGCCCGAATGCGCTCTCGGATCATAGCTGCTCCGGGTGATCAAGCCAATAGCCTGACCAATGGGGCCGTCGTCCCAAAGGCAAAGACTAGCAGCCACGGCCGATAGCTTCCCTTGGGATATGGCACGGCGGCGATTCGGGATCCTGCCAAGGCCCTCAAACATTTGATGGAACAGAATGGCGACCAACAAGATGACGAAGCCGTCAATAGTGATGGAAATCGTCATTCCCACGAAGACGGAGTGGAATAGAATGCCTCCCTCCAACAATGTGATGTTTGTCGACATCTTCTTGAACACCTGTGGGTCGACGGCTTGGTTCTCCTCGTCCAAGTAGACCACCTCGGATGTAGAAACCTCACTCCCATCCTTCACCTTGGGCGATCGCGAGTTCGATTGCTGCTGCGAGTTTACCAAATCTATCATTTGGTTGTGTTGGCGAATATATTGTTCGTAGAAGACGACGAACCACGCGGGCATGGTTGATAGGCTATCTCGCGCATTGTCGTCGTCGTAAACGTTAGAAGCAACGTGCCGCTCGTAGACGCTCTTGACAGACTGAATGTCAACAGGCTCTTTCCTGTCCATTGGGAAACCGTAACTGGCCTCATCAAAGGCCGGCGGTGGTTGTTTATGGCGAGGCGAGTGCAGGGCAGCCAGCTTGTTGAGGTCGAGACTCTCGCCCGTGGGCCCGCCGTGCGAGTGTCCTCCCGTCTTCGCATTGAGCCACATCTCAACCACAAAAAGAGTGAACAACGAACCCATCATGATGACTCCGGGGAGTGGTGGATAATCCTTTGTAAAAAGGTTGGGAAGGCATGGGTTTCCGAGGCTCTCAAAGGCGGTGGGGAGAAGCTGGGCCGAAGGTTTAGCCAAGACGCCTCCAGTTGGTGTGGTAAGCTAGCCTTAGGAGCCGGACTCACATGAACAAAGGCAGTGGCTATGAGAACCCCGGTTCCGAAATGCTTGCAAGCAAAGAAGACTTTTGGGGGAATCTTCATCCACTTGACTTTCTTGGCCACCACGGGGAAGCCACAGCCTGTTGGGCGTGAAGTCAGCGCGGGGCGCTTCCTGCGGGAAAGCTGCAGCAAGGGGAGTCGGGCTTGACCGTACCTATGCATGATGCTGCCAGAACCAGGACTATCAAGTCATCAGTATCGAGTCTTAGCAACGCGGCTAGGCTACTCACAAAGCCCTGCTACGTGCAGGCCCAAGTCATATTCTGCCGCTTCCTTTTTTCCCCCACATTGAGGCTTTGCGTCTGCATCCATGGTCGGCAGCTTCGTCGCCCGCTGCAAAGAAGCAGATCGGCTCGTGGGGGAATGAAGGAGATGGGGGAAGGTGTCCCTTTCTTGCCGGCGACCAAGGTCGTTGCTTCGTGCCGCGGGGTGTCAAAGCGAGCAATTACGCGAGAATGTCGAGATTCCAGCTCGACAAATGATCAATAAGCAAGCCCCATGAATTCGACCAGCGAAGAGTCGTCGACCAGCGAATCGAGTGACGGCGCCGCAGAAAGTGCAGAGGGACATGAAGCTTTTTGCAAGTACGGAAATCCGGGGTTCCGCGCCTTTAAAGACTTAAGACAGCAGACCGGAGGGCGGGAGGCAGGCGTCAAACCACCGACGCCAGCTCCGATCCCCCCATGGATAGAAGTCTTCCAGTTGCCGCTGCTCGGACTCGAAACGCTCCTTTTCCCTTTTTTTCTCCACAGGAAATGTGCTGCGGCTCCGCCATTCTCGGGGGCTGCGCTAGGGCGGGCGGCCGACGACAGGGGCAAAGGAAGCACACTGCCGCTTCAACCGGCGGTCTGGGGCCCCTGTCGGAGAATATGTCGCGGGCCGCCCTTTGATGAGACGAATGTAGTAAAAGTCGTGGCCATTGCGGAGACTGGGCCGCTACCAACTGACCATGTATCACTCGGCGGTCGTGTAAGCCCAAGCGACGAAGTCATGCGGAGGCGATGAAACGCGACCCTCGCCAAGTTTGAGACTGGCAGTCTGACGGAGAAGCACTGTACGTAGCGCCATTGATAACGCGTGTGTGATTATTTCCGTCATCTCAGCTAATTAGTGACGCCCCGGACAGGCCTAACGACGGGAATGTGGTGACGCTTCCCCATCACCGATCTTCATGTAGACGTCAAACGCACGCAAAGACTACCCTTCCTTGGATACGCAAGGGCTTAATGTAACAAACCCTTGATCAAACATATGCACACTTTACTTCTGTTTTATTTCCAGCTTCAGGTCCCCCTTTTGGGCCTTGATGATAACTACTGCGTTGCGCTTAGAACCAGACGATCCATGCGTTGTAATCGCTTAATGTAGTAATTTGTGGACCGTTGACGTGCCGCATCATGATTCCAAAGTCGATTTGGGCTCAAGGTACTTTGCTTAGAAACACAGCATCCCTTATGCGTACTGAGATGATGCACTGCGGAAACCTTCACGGAGGGCATTTTTCTTTGGCCTTGCCCCCTCCTCCCCTATGAGGGAGGACTCAATGTGAAGAATATGCGCCAGATTCCTCTCTTGGTCCGTCAGGGGCGGTGACAAATGCAAGGCCTAACAAGGTTTCGCCCCGGCAGGATCTGCGGGCCCTGACTCGGCAACAATACTGTACGTATCCCGACTCGGAGTACGGATACGGAATAATACGACGAAGGGAAGTGGGGGTTCTTATTATAGAACAGCGTCGCTTTCAATGTTTGATGTAAACACCTCAGACAGCATGGGATAATATGTCGCAGACAATCGGTGGAGAACAACAGGTCAAGCAAGATCACTAAGTAGTTCGTCCCGTGAAGTAAACGGGCCTCTGTTCGCTTATCTTATTGTTGGCAAAGTATCAGGTAGGGGTCTTCGGACAATGTGGCCTTAAGACGGCCTGCAGCAGTGCGCAAACCTCAACCGAGATATCTCCTCCCCGTGAAGCAGCATTATTGCCGGCATAGGAAAAATCAAAAGCGAAAACAATGAAATTCTTCTATCACGTACCACACTTAGCCATAGCCAAGGCGGTTAATTGCATTGACCGCGGGTTTGTGACGTGGCTGACTGAGGCAGCTTCTCTATGCGTGTAAAGCAACTGACTAGGCAGCGCACAGTAACGCCTGGTGACAGGACTCGGAAGATAACGTTGCTCCCACTACTGGGGGACGCTGGGGTAAGAGGGGAGGGGGCACGAGGGAGGGGGGGGGGTGGAGGCCCCAGAAACAGGAGCCATATCAGATACATACAACACCAGCGTCGATGTCGTCATATCGTCTACTGAAAATAGTTTCATATATTTATCAATCTCATAGAACTCTAAGCAATAAATTCCGGCACAGGTAGAGTTTTATCTTATTGTATTGGTAAGATATTTAGATAAATGCCCTTTATATTCAAGTGAATATTTACATTATTCAGTTCAATCGAGAATCGGAGACATGAGGCGTGTCTCCGGTTGCTCTAACTTCTACCTGCCAAACAGGGACAGATGCATTTCTTGGAATCACGGATTTAAGGGAAAATATATAGCGGGGACATTAGTTGCGCAATTCGACTAGATCTCGCAGACTTTTGAGGAGCTGACGGCTCGACTACGGTTGATATTATATGTGACTCAACATGGGTTATTCTATATGGCTCGTGAGCTGGCCCCTTGTTTTGCTATGAGTTTCTGCACTCGTCAAGAGGACGGTCCCCAGCCATAGTAGCCTCCGGGTTAAAGCATTGGCAGAGTCGGATGAAGCTGCTCTACTATTGACACTAGCCTGCGTTGCCGTTTTGTAGTTGAGAGAATGAGCAAACCCTCGGGTGGCATGGTATGGCCATGTTCATGCCGCGTTTCATGTTTAACCCTGGCCGGCACAGGCTGGTGCCGTGGCAAGGAATATTAAGATGAAGAGCGATGCAACATGACGACTTGACGCTGAGCCCCCTGGTCCGGGTGATGCAATCTAATGATGTTGCATTAATTTTATCAATCTCCTTGAAATATCGCCTAGGCAATCAGATCTTATCCATCTTTGTCGCAGTCATAGCAATTTGCTATTCTTAGAACTTCTATCGTTTGCCATTATTGCCCTTCCAACGCGACAGCACGCCTGACATTCAGGGCTCTATGACTAATTTCTATTCCACCAGGGACGGGAATCCACTCGACCCATTCGCTAAGCGATGCGGCTTCCCCAAGGAGATCGAGACCTTGGGAGGCCGCTGGTCTGTATGCAATCAAGCGCATCAATCCATCTCAGACATGGCCAAGCACCTGGATGCCAGCGTCTTGACATCGCTTAGCGACTGCATCGCCAATTGTAGAGCACGTATCATAATAATATGGCTCTTTGTGTGTTGTTGGCCCCCTGCTGTCTTTTAAAGGACATGCCAGCCACTTGCCGGAGTAAAACCCGAGTTGCCAGACTAGCCGAAACACTTGACGCCAAGAGAGAGACTGTAGAGTCCGTCCACACCTAGATAATCCTGCAAGAGAGAGATGGACTGAGCGTCACTCTCGAAGGTTAGAATGCTCGGGTTTGATCGTCTTAGCGCTACCGACTAGCACCCACTTGAAACCAATCAGGTCACTCAACAGAAGCTGTGTTAGTGCGACAGGTGAAGTTGCGACCACGTAGATGATGCTTCAGGCAGGAGTCAGATCCGGTACGAGCAAAAGTAAACTAGTCGCTCTGTCGTCTGAATAATTCCAGACAAAGCCCGGGAGAGCCTGGTGAAGTCGAGTGACGTCTCTGATTATCATCTGGTTGCCGGGAAATGCGCAGGGCGACTGTACTACTTCGTAGCATCCCAAAACGCAGGTGAGATTGATAAGGGCAAGCGAAACGCCGTGCCGCACTTGAAACGCGTTGTACGGTCGGGGCGGTTTATCAACGGGGCTGATCGGATGTCACGTTAAAGAGCGCTGCTTACAAGAAGGTCGCAGCAATCTGAATGCTTAGAGCCTTTTTTTATATCATTACTCGCATGCAGCCTCTAGGGCCATGGCGAGGCTAATAGGGGTGCTTAGAGCCATGAAAGGCTGCACGCATCACGAAGTCAACGTGACCATGTTGTGCTTTATGGCTAAGGAATATGGCACCCTAGTAGCAGCTCTCATCGCCTTTCGGTATTGGGACAGCCGCGTCGAGTCGATGCTTGCCAGCGATGAACCGGGCGGTGCGTTTCCTCTCTGGAAGCTTGAACTGCTCCAACTTCGATGTCGATATGCTTCGTACTACGACACAAGTGTGCGTTGAAGAGTGACATTCGGGCCTTTGATACGATTTCATTTAGGGAACCTTTAAAAATTGAACTTTATGGTCGGAGGCTGAAGCCCCAAGTTTCACCTCGTTGTAGGCGATCCTCTAAGATGTACATTATTACTGCCCCGGTTTATGCAAGCTCGGTAGTCGTATGGTGTGATATATTCATCTCAATGTGCCACCCCAGCGCCGCTCTATTATCAACCGACTGATTTCGGCTGTGGCAATTTGTTCTTCGAGAGTGTCCCTGTTTGGCTTTGGCCCCAGCTTTGAAGTTAGAGGCAGTTAAAAGCCCCCAACGTCGTGGGTTAGAATTTTATATTCCAAGCGAGCTTCATTAAGAATATTTCTCGACATACACGGCCAATCTGTTTTTGGTTTGGTCGGCAATTCTTTGCAAGAAGGTTCATATGTAGTAACGCGATGTATCCCCCGTTACAAGAGATGTTTGCCGACCCCCAATGGATAGGCGGCAGAACTCACACTTACACTGACCATAGAGTCGCAGCGCGTTACAGCGTCACCGTTGCAATGCTTTGACCAACTATAGTTACGAGTGGGTGGCATTTTATGTCGCATCGCAGATTATGTATATAGTCCAGAAAACTCATCATTACAAGTCTGTTTAGTTGCATTTACAAATCCATGGGTCAAACAACCGCCAAGATTTCCACCCTGATGAGAAGTGAAGCACACTATACACACTCTTCAAGCTGCGGCGTTCGCGACAACGTATGTGCCCAGTGCATTGCCCCGGTCTTTAGTACTTCCAGGCGAAATTGTACGCACCGAGTGCAATCAACCACCCATGCCGAAATCTTTGCAAACTTCCCGGCCTTGGGCTTTGATGTTCTCGACAACCCATAGTCGATAGTTGGAGAAAACAAACGCTTTTCCAGGGGCAAAGGCGAAGTTGTTGCTAGTCTCGCCTATGTGAATTTTGCCAAGCAACACGCCATCGGGATTCCAGATGTGGACGCCGTCGCCAACACCTGCCCAGACGTTGCCCTTGGTATCACAGTGGATGCCATCCGAGAAACCCACGTCGGAATACGAAAAGAGTCTCATGTTAACTAGCCGCTTGTTTTCGACGACGTCAAAGGCATAGATGGTTGCCGGCTGCCCGGTGACCACGTCAAACTGCTGGCTGCCAGTGTCGGAGACGTAGACGAGTTTGTTGTCCAGCGAAAACTCGATGCCATTTAGCTAAACGAAGCCGTCTGCTACGACCTAATCAACTCATGTATCCGACTCGAAGCGGTAGACTTGCCTAGGCATCGACGGCGGTGGGCGAAAGTGCTGGTATTAGCCGTAGTCGTCCGAGTCGAGCGAGACGACAGTGATGTTGATGCTGTTCCCCGGGCTCCTGTAGTTGGACGTGATATTGAGGGAACTGTCCTCTTTGTTGTAGACGCCGGCTTCGTGAAATGCCTCCCAGGGCAGATCCCAAACCATGCGCGCCGTCCCATTGTGGCCCATAACGTCGTAGAAGTCGGGTGAATACGACAGGAACGAGATGGCTGGCTTGACGGCGCCCCCCAAGAGGTTTGGGAGATATTGGGCGTTGGTGGCCGTCGCCAATAAATCGACGTTTACAAAATGCGACATGTTGGCTGTCAGCCAGAGCATCGTGATGGGACCAGGGAACGTGAGTGGTGTGAAGCAGGAGGAGGATGATTTCTTTCGTGAGCCCAGACTCCACTGGTCCTGGACGCCCTGGCGTTGTGCCTGCAGTCTGTGCTTTGGTTACGGCGGTATTTGCTTTTCCCCATCATGAGCTTCCCTTCCCGCCCTTGTCTCCATGGCCCCGCACGGGATGCACGATCGGTCTCCGGAGTCGGACGCCGTGCTGGGTAGAGAGGGAGTACATCGAAGGGACGATTTGAGCCACACCGTCTCCCCGAATCAGCTGTCTAGAGAGTATTCTTCCATTTCTTTAGAGCCGCCTTGAAACTAACGAATCTTTTCCTCCCTCGACTAGAGCAATTCACCAGCGGCCCCTTTCAGATCGGACACGTGGTTGTTGAACCGTTTCGTCGCGTTGTGTGTCGCGCGCATGCACTCTGTAGTTGGCGACTGTTGGCGTCGCGGGCGTGCTCGTCGAGCAACTCTCTAGCGCCAGGTCGGTCCGGGTATTGCAATTCTTTGGCTGCAACGAGCTTCCAGTTCCCATGAGCTGCGAAAACTCAACGAACCGGTTCAGAACAGTGAACTCGACCTTAAGCTTGACGCTGTACACAACAGGCTTCCAGGCTGTTTGGATATTGTATTGCTTAGTGAACTCCCAGGCCAGGACGCTCACGTCGAGGAGAACGATAAAGAAGTTGACGATAATCAGGTGGCTCATGACGCGTCGCGGTCCAGCAGGCGCCACGCCCTTCAGCAATTGAAGAATCTTAGTCGTTTCGATAATATAGAGGCCCGATATAATGAGTTTCTGCACGGTAAAGGCGGACAGCTGCAGCTTCTCGAAAATGGAGTACGGCGTCACGAACGGTTCTAGCTTGTTCGAGTTAGAGCCGTAAACCAGTACTATGACCGATATATCCAGGCGTATCGCGTTGGTTATGATCATCGCGAGAACGTAGCGCAGGAGCTTCGGGTGTTAGAGGACGAAGTGCAATCGCGAGTATAAGTCGATCGACTGGCCCGTGATCATAGTGCATCAGCCAATAAGGACACTGGAATGCACGAAGCCCGCCGGGTCAACATGCAGGAGCTGGAGCAGGTAGCCCACGACATTAAAGGCGATGCCCCATGTTGCAACGACAAGGCCCCAAAAGTAGAAGCCGCGAAACTGCTTAAAGGTGCTTGCTATTAGGAAATTGAGCTCCACCAAGTTATAGAGCGCAATGCTGATGAAAACGACGATGACGACACAGAAACCCTAGTCATAGGCCCTGGATCGCCGTCACGTCATCACTTGAATCCATGGCAGACGGCTACATATGGTTACGCCGCGCAGGAAGTTGCCCGGAGGGCGGGTTTGTATACCATGGTCGACAGTGTCAGGGAGACCGCCGCTGTGCGGAGGGCTGCACGATCGTCATATCGTTGACGAGAAGGCGCGTCCTAGGCGGTAAAGATGACAACAGCTTTTGGTGTATGCCGTGAACGCCGGCCGAGAAGAAAGCCAGCCTGTACCGCATGCAGAAGCGCGGCATTCGTCTACAACCATTTAAGCCCCAGTCTGGCGTCAAGGCGCCGAAAGCGACAAACTAGGTTAAGGCAAGTAGGCAGTAGTAACGTGGCCGCGAACGAGACCAACCGGTTTGTGTGGTCGGTGCCGAGAGTTGTCAAAGGCGTTGAGCTTTCGGACCTTTAGGGGACACGGCTACCGGACCCCCTTCGCTCCTAACCTAGTTCCTCAGCACTGAGATTGAATCCGTGAAGCCTGCATGAGGCGGAAAGCAGGATCTAAGAATTTGGAGCGAGAAATCGCCACCGTGCGCGTCTGGCATTGGATATTATATCTTCTTCACGAAAGATGCATCTATGGCCGAGATGGATTATCATGATTTATCCCAGTAAGCATGAGGTCAACTGGCAGCGTCAGGAGAGATGGTGGCAGCTCGGCGAGTTTAATGCCACGAGGTCGCACTCTTGCACTTGAACACCCCTCCCCTTCTACCTTAGGTGAACGAACTTAGGACCAGTTATTCTACAACTTTTAGGTAGTCTCTGACTGTTTAGGGGATTCCAAACGCTCCTTTACAGGCCGAACTTTTGTGACGGCCGAGAAGAATGCGCTTAAGCGCTCGACTAATCTCCTCCGCACTCAAGCCACGGCCCGCGATGCTCTGTTTTAATGACCAATGAAATTGCCGCCCTATATACAGTCCAGATACGTCATCTAGGTTTCTATCCAGCACGTGGCTTCCAGCCCTCAATCCAAATGCCCATGGCGCTTTCCGGACCAGAATGCTGGCGAAAGGGCTTGAGCTCAACCGTTGGTGACAGCTGGCCAGCCGGCGTTGGGCAGCCAATCGAACTCTTGACTGGATCGACGACCCAAAGGCGATCATTTATCAACACCAAATTCTCAAAGGTAAAATCAGTTCTGAGTAGGGAATATTAAGCAAAGTCTAATCGGTGTGTGAGCCGCCCCGGGCGACGGGAAGCGCTCAATTAAATTTTTGTGTAGCCTGGGCAAGCAGCACGGTCCGGCATGGGCCAAACACGACCAAATCGAATAGTCCCATGTTACTAGGATGACTATTCAAGGGGAAAGCCGTGGCAAGCAAATGAGATTTTACTCGTTTCTCCGCCCGCTGTGTTACATGGACATCTACATCCCGAAAGTGTACAGGGAGATTCTAGTCCCTTCAAGGCCTGTGGTCTCCTGGTGTCGAACCCTGCTTGAAGGCATAGAGGGAGACAAGCCAAGCCTCGGCTTCCTCGGCCCCTGATAGTGGCTGACCCTGCCGGCTCGTTCTAAGGACCATCGCCTATTTTGCTTGTTCCATACCTGGAGTGTCTTAGGGCATTGGCAATGATGAAAAGGAGGTCTCATCTGTTCTCCAGCTCAGGTTGTGGCGTGACAAGTCCCATCACGGGAGGAGTTTGCACCATAGAACGCAAGTCGCCATACGACAAGCCGCTCACACCCCGGCTGTAAACACTTAGACTCACAAATCAACTCCAATTGACACAATACTCTTGGACAAGAATCCTGTGACGAAGAGCTGCGCCCGGCGACGACCCCCGTTGATGGAGGGATCGGTAGCAACCAACACAGCGGTGCTCGAGCTGCGAATTCGGTTGCCATCATCCTGAAACAGCAGGCGTTTGCTCCATCCCCCTAGGCCCACATCATTTCGAGCATTGCTTGTTTGCTGCCCATGCGGCCCATGAGGTGCCACCTTCCATACCATGACGCCGTCTTTGGCATGGGGGTCACGACTGTTTTTCTGCAGATCGACGGCTCTTGTTAAGCCGCAGACGATAAAGCCACTGGCGTCAAATGTGGCATTCGCGAAGGGGTCCGAAAAGTAGCTCGGGTTGTCCAAGGTGGAGTCCAATTCAATCGATTCAACGACGTCGATCCGGCGGGCTGTGCTGTTCGAGTCCATGCCTTCAAATGTACCTAGATGTAGCACCCCGCTCGCCGCGCTCCCCAACAACACGTCCTGTGACGTTTTCCGTGGCCAAGGCCGTTATTGTTATGCAAACCGGCAAGGGCAACCGAGGCCTTGACATTGTAGCTGTCGTCCGTCGGACTACCGGCGCTGGCAGAAAACTCGACGTAGAGCGTAGTAGACCACTTTGCTTCGTAGTAGAGATCTTCAAGCATCCTTAACCATCCGTCCCTGTAGTAGTGGTCGTTTGTCACGAAGAAGGATGTCGGTGATAGGGCCAAATGTCATTGGGCGTTGCTATGAGCGGATCCCAGACTGAACGAACGTGTCGGACCGTGTCGGATCCGATGACGTAGTGAAAGACTTCGACCACCGAATAACTCTTGGGCGCACTAGCGTTGGCTTTTGGAAGTGCTCACGGCTTGGCTTATGGTTGACCGCGAAAACGTAGACAGCCTCACCCTTCCGTCTACTAGGATCGTCGATTATATCGATGCCGTGTGTAACGAAGGGCGGTTCGAAATTTTCAAAGTGCAAGGCCCTGGCCTTTAAAGTCTGCTACGAATGAGCAAATGAGGACATGGAAGAAGCAAAAACGGACGTACTCTTGGGTCAATGATCCGGATATTGCCTCGAGCCTTGGAGGCAGCTGTCGGATTATTGAAGTTGGCAAGAGGTGGAAACCACGAATATCGGGTAGATTCCACATCTTCGCAAGCAGTAAAGAGCAGCTTGCTTGCTTCATGATAGTGAAGGTCCTCGCAATGCAAGGTGTTTCCGATGATAGAGACATCCTTTGGCTGTATAGAGTCTTGGCTTGCGGGCGTTCGGAACACGCCCAGAACGAGAGTCATCCGCCGAAGGCTGGTGCCATAGGTATAAGACCCAAGAACTGCCAAGAGAAGCACAAGACCTGGAGCAATATAGAACGAATTGCGAGCGGCCATGATATGTAATCCACGGCCAACGCAAGCCGTTAGAGAAAGCATACAGGCTAGGACGATTTCCAGATGAAGTCAATGCTAGGGCAAACGAATGCCTCGGGTAGCTAAAGCGGTGAGAGAACAAGGCAGGCCGGATTTGGTTATAATAAGCGGGGAACTGATTTGTATTTTTACTACCCTCCCTCTAATAAATGATTTGACTGGCCAGCGCCACCCCGCATTGCATCTTTTGCCGAGTTGCATGGCGCAGCGTGTGGGGGCACAAGTAAACGAGCCTGGGTACTGTTGGCTGCTGCCCGCTGTGGTCGTACGTGTCCCATCTAGTACCCCAGTCGCTCAATCATGTGGGGAGAGTTGATGAAGGCGCATCTCTCCATCGAATCTCTGTCTGCTGATGGCAAGATGAGAGCGGGGCCCGTCGAAAGCTAACAGACCCTCAAAGGGACCTCCCATCATATATAGGGCGGTTTCGTTTAGGGTGGGAAAAGCCGGCTCGAACCCTTGAAAGGTCTCGTGGCTCTTTAGCCACGGTCTGCCTGTGCTTGCAAATGTTGACCACGACCTTGAGCCCCTGACCTTTAAATACGAGTCGGAAGCCGTTGGATAGAACGGATAGCCATTGACATCGTAATGCGAGAGGTTTCCGAAAATATACGCAAACTCCGAGTTATAAATAGGACCGAGTCCATTTTGGTGTTTGCGTGAGCAAGTACGGAGTCGAGGATTGTCTGGTTCCAGTTGCATAGGTAAACGGCATTGCCCGCCGTGTTAAGGCGCTCAGCATACTATACAGCCGGACAGGTCATAGGAGATCTCTGAAAACCCTTGCCGATCGAAAGAATTTATTAGACAGCCTAGCTCCCTGGTTTGCCTAGAAGTCGGATATAGGGTAGAGCGAGAGACGTTGATCCACGTTATCTCTTATTAAACCGGGCGCGTATATAAATATAAACTTAAAAGAATTATCTATAGTTTTAATCTTATTGTCTATAAAAAAGGTTACTCTTAAGCAGGGCTTAAGAGCATAGTAGAAGAAGTAGGCATAGAAAGGTAAATTAAGTAATATATATCTTAGTCTATCTATTAGGATAAGGAGGGCTTATATAGGTATAGTAACTATATATAGCTAGCTAAAAGAGGGCATTAAGGTATTCCTATACCTAAGTTAGGCCTATATAATGTCCTTAGGCTAGGGGAGTTATATTAGTTAGGCGGGCTTCCTTATATATAACTATTAGGTCTACTAGGCATAACTATAGCCTCTTATACCTACTCTCCTTAATATACCCCCTTGCTACCCTAGCTTCTAGATAATAGGGCAATAGGTAGAAGAGCGTTTAGTCTAATAAATATAAGGCTATTCTAATATTAAATTCGGCTACTTTATTTTCTATTTAAGGAGGTTATCTAAAAATAGGGGAGGCTCCTAATTATATCCTACAAAAAGGAAAGGTAAATATAATAAAAGGGAAGTTTATTCGGCGGCTAGTGCTCGAATAGTATATATAAAAAAAATAAAAGCCAGGACCTAGGGGAGAGGATATAGGGAGAAG